CACCCCTGCAAAAGCTGGGATACCTCAGCACAGGAAATATTCATGTGGTCACTCCCTTCTGCTTGTCATATTCAAGGGGTTTCTTATTGAGCAATGCAACCAGCTTCCTCTTTTGGTACCTCTGAATAAGTTTTCTTTTGGGATTTTGGGACTGCACTGTTATTTCAGAATTATTTTGTGAAGGAAGATGAATTTAGATTCACATTATTTTCAAGAAATTATTTCAGTTTCAGTATATCCTACCTACTACAGTTGCAGAGCCTTCAATGAGCACAGCACAGAGAGTGAATGATGGCAGCAGTGATAATGAGTGCATATGGGAATACCAGGAAAACTTTAATCATCATCATTAACGTTTTATTTTCTGCAGTGCAATTCCTACTCCGATGTACCACAATTTGCGGTAGCAGACAGCAATGCCCAGCATTGATAAATATAAAGAGTAGGAAAGCCATGAGGAAGAAAGTAATCACTAAGCTGGAACTGCCATGGTTGTTTACTGTTTTGATTTTTAAAATTATTTTATTTTGCTGTATGAGAGTCTTTCAAGTCAGGTATGATTCTGAAGGAGAAGAAAGATAGACTCAAGCATGTAGACAGATGATATCTAGTTTCCCTGGTTCCTGGCTTTGATGCTCATTTATAGGCTTGTGTCCTCACAAACCATGTTGCAACTTCTGGTTTTAGTACTGTTTTTCCCAATTTACTATCTTATTCAAATGAACGTTAAAGGAAAGTAATAAAAACCACCAGGCTGCAATACCAACGAATTTTGGTAAATGCGGTGGAGTGTTGTCTTATTGCAGCTTGACATTCAGTAAGAAACACAAACTTTAAGAAGGGACCGTTTGGAAAAGGATCATGAAGCTAAATTTGTGAAAACACTATAGGAGGGAACTTCTAAAATATATGAAGTCATGATGTCAATGGTACACAATCTAAGTGATGACTTCCTAGCTGAAGATGTATTTTATATAGGAAAGCTAAAGTTATAGTGAAAGCTAACAATATTAACTTCTTTATAAAGTGGTTCATTAAAAGAGGTTTCTTTCTTGGACAAATTGCCTTAGAAATGTTGGCCTTAGGGGTCCTGTTGTCCTTGCTAAAATAGCATAGTGCCAATAGAACTACTTTATACCGTTTAAAATCAATTTTGCAATCAAGAATTCTGTTTATAAGCTATTTGAACTCAATTTCACTGAAAAGTTAACCTGAGTTGTAAGTTATTCCAGGTACAACTGGAATCTTTTCTACACAAAAAATATGAAACCCAAGCCTGCAGTTGCTTTTGATTTGAGGCAGCCAGTTTAACAGGAGGATAAGGGCTGATACTATAGTGTGTCGTGTCAGCCACTCTGTACTATGAGGACATTTTTCCATCACTTGAATGATATTATTCTTCCAATGCCTTTCCATTCCTCCTTCCTTATTGCCAGAGGCCTCCTGCTCATGCCTGCAACAGAATGAAGAGCACCACCAGCTTGTGGTACTGGTAAGAACCTTTAAGGCTGGCAGCAATCCTGGGGCATGGTTTTATGGTGTGAAGTGTTCTTAAGGGTAGAACCGACTTTCAGTGTTCCCATTTCAGCATCATTCCTCAGTCCTGCCCTCCTCTGCCCCTGCATTGCTCATTTCTGCTGATGCAGTATTTTTGAGAGTCCTGAAAAGATACATTTCCAAAGAACAGCTTAGTGGCTCCTAGTGTGGCACAACACACCTCTCCAGCACAACGATGAGGGCTGCAACACGGGCATGGCAGTTGGCATGCACAGTCATAAAACTTAAAACTTAAAAACTTAAAACGACATTTTTACAAAGCAGGTGGCATTGTGAAGCTGTGACAACTGCAGGAGACACAAGTGAAGGTATAATGACATGCTGCAGGGGCAGAGGCTCCCTTCATAAACTAGCAAGAGACTTGAGGCAGCTACTGCAAGAGCACACAGAACGCTTCTAAATCCCCCCAAAATGCAGTCAGCAATCAGGGAGTTATTGGGGAGGGCTAATTGTAATTTTCCTGGCAAAAATCCTCACTTGAATCCCCATGACTCACTCCTTTGAAATACAGTCACATCTCTCAGTAAAAAGGATGTAACACAGGAATCAAAATGTCCAGTGGCAATCATAGTTGTCTTGTAGCAGGCAGTGTAGGGAAGAGGAAACACAGAGTAAGGCAGGAAAGTTATTACTATTTGGCTCTAAAGTGTAGAAAAACTTTCTTCATAATTGGCAGGAATTTTGGTTTGCTGCTCTTAGTTTAAGAGATGCTATACAGAAGAAAGAGGGGGAATTATTCCAAAGTGTTGAATGTTTTCAAAGGTAGAAGAGCCCATTTATCTAAAACAACAGTGGGAGTCCAAGAAGAACAATTCATACCATGCAAAAAAGCAGTGGGTCCCCTAAGGATTTACCTGTAAATCTTCATTCCAGAGGTCTCCATTCAATTCGAGCACAGCTCTCCAACCCCAAGGACAAAGGCAAAGCTCTCACTGAGATGGCTTCTCCTTCTTACTTCCACACTGCTCAGTTTTCCTGCTTCAGGGGCAACTCAGTCTGCTCCTCTGCAGCTACAAAACTGCTGCAAATCCAAGTCTTGCTATAAAGGAAAATTAAAATTCAGGTTAACTGTGTGCTTCTGAGTCCGCTCAAAACTAAAAGAAACGCTTCTTCAGATACATCAACAACAAGCAGAAAGAGAAAGAAAATACTGTCCCACTGATAAGAGAGGTGAATTTGTCACTGACAATACTGAAAAGGCAAAGGTTCCCAACACTTCCTTTACCTCTGTCTGCAGCAGCAGTGCTGGGCCCCCTGCCATGGGGATAAAAAATCCATGCTGATGCATCCACAAGGGCATCACCAGTAGAGATCAAGAAGTCACTATCCCACTCTGCTCAGTGCTTATCAGCCCACACTGGAATTCTGTGCTCAGTTTTGGTCCCTGCTGTGCAAAAAACATGTGAAGAGGCTGGAGAAGGTCCAGAGAAGAGCCACAAAGATGTTCAAATGACTGGGAAGCCTGAGAGAGGCAAAGGCTGAGAGAACTGGGTTTGTTCAGCCTTGAGAAAAGAAGGCTTAGGGGAGGCCTCCTCACCATGTTCCACTATTTGATGGGTGGCTCCAGACAAGATGGATACCCTCTTTTTACAAGGAGTCACACAAAAAAGACAGGGGGTATTGGGTAAAAGTAACTCCTGAGGAAGTTACAACTACTTACACAAGGAAAACTTTTCACAATGAGAACAATCAGCCATTGGAATAATCTCCCCAGGGAAGGGGTGGATTCTCCAATACTGTACACTCCTGAGATTTGGCTGCCAGTATGCTGGGCCATCTTGCCTAGATTGTGCTTTTACCAAGAAAGGTTGTATGAAATGTTCCTTGAGGTCAGTTCTTTCCAACCTGTATCCTATGATTCTACAGTTTATAAGCATGGCCAGTTTATGTGCGTGCTCCTGGCTGTGAACTGTGGTGGTTCAGCAGGACTTTGAAGAGAGGAAAATTGAATGATGCAGGAACATTCTCCACGTCTCTTATTGTGAGCCAAACACTTTTTTTATACAAAAGTCTTGAGAACCCTACACCAGAAGGAGGTGAAGTGGCATGTCCTGTGATACTTACTCTAAATTATGCATGTATAACAGCACCCAAGGTTATCATGAAATCTATTATGACAAACATATGCTGAAAGGTTTGCAACATAAAGGGCTAGTTTTCATTATCCATTGAAGGTGAATTTAGCCCTAAACAAAATATACAGGAAAACACAGTTGTTAATGTGATGGGAATTATTACAGTGTAATAATAAATGGGTGTTGTTTGTTGACTTTGCTATTGGGAAATTCACTATCTACATATACAGGCTTGATTTTAAAAAGGGAAGATCAGGCTAACCTAACAGATGGTTGGAAGATATAATATGCAGATAGAAAAACAAAAACCCCCAAACCCCTCAAAATAAGCCACTTCTTCACACTCTGACCAGCAGGTTGAGGAAGGCGATTCTGCCCCTTTACTCAACTCTTGTGAAATCCTGCCTAGAGTACAGCTCTAGGTCCCCCCAAAACAAGAAAGATGTAGACCTGTTGAAGCAAGTCCAGAGTCGGGTCATAAACATGACTGGAGGGCTGAAGTACCTCTCCTGTGAGGACAGGCTGAGAGAGCTGCCTTCCAGTACCTCAAGGGGACCTAAAAGAAGTCTGGAGAGGGACTTTTGACCAGTGTGTGCAGTGACAGGACAAAGGGGAATGGCTTTAAATTGAAAGAATGTAGGTTTAGATTGGGTACTTGGAAGAAATTCCTTACTGTGAGTGTAGTGAGGCACTGGCACAGGTTGCCCAGAGAAGTTGTGGATGTCCCATCCCTGAAAGCATTCAAGGCCAGATTGCATGGGACTCTGAGCAACCAGGTCTAGTGGAAGGTGCTCCTGCCCACAGTAGTGGGGTTGGCACTACATGATCTTTAACGTCCATTCCAACACAAACCATTACATTTGTTCAGCCTTGGATACTTAGAAGTTACTGGAGAGAAAAAAAAGAAAAAAGAAAAAAAGGACCATAAGCTGATCAAAAGGACTACTTGAGGTAAAACAGAAGGGAGCATGTGCAGTGGAATCAGTCATGAACTATTATTTTTAAAGAGAAGAAGAAAAGGTGTTTCAAGAAGCTAGATCTATTTGTCTTGCTCTAAAGGGCTAACAAGTCTTAAGAAAAATGGGTATGAAGATTGTTGGCTTTTAAATCTTTTACTAATCCCTCTCACAGGGAAAAAGGGCCAAGATTAAATATCATACTGAGTACCTACCACAAGTGAACATCATAGTAGTCTGCAGGATTAGATTAAGAAAGAAAATCGAGGAATTTAGAATGAGATAATACAACAACAACATAAAAAAGTGAGCTGTGGTCAGGGATCAAAAGAAGGAAATGTGACCACATCTGTAACGACTGTAGCTGCCCCGAGAGGTTTCTTACCTGTAAGCTGATCATGCTTCTGTGAGGACCAAATTCAGGGCCTAAGTTGCACTAACAGCACAGTTCAGACTCAAAACAAGGAGTTATCAGATCTCAGGTGGTTTCTGGTCTTCATTTTTCTTTTTAAGTAACCGTCATCTTTTTCTAATGGCTTAATGTCAGAAGTATGCTTGAAGGAGGTATTTCAATGTGGAAAGTTGTCAGCCCTGCCCAGGTTCCATTGATTCAGTGGAATTGGCTGTAGTCCTTGTGGGACAAGTGCTCCCTTAATTTTAGACAAGTCTACTTCAAATATAATTAGACAGGAGGCTTTTTTTCTCTTTTTTGCCCTACGTGCTGAGTGAGACACATTACTTGTAATCATTATATACTAGTTTATTGATCGTGGCTTTTCAGTATTCACCGTAGATAGGCTTGTTTTAACAGAACTCTCAAGAGACATGTCTGGTTAACAAACAATTACCAATTGAAGGTATAGAAACAAGCACAGGGATTTTGTCAGGACATCCAGAAATGTGCAGGGTATTTTGACAAAAGGTGAAAGGGCTTTTCTCTTAAATCTGGTATTTTTTAAGGGATGTTCCTAAAGTCCATTTAATGACATTTTAGGAGTCATTCAATATATTCTTTTCATCTCAGCTTCCTATATTTCAATATTTGAAAAGATTGAACAAATGGAAATTATTCTCAGGAACTGCCTATATGGAAAACCTATGAGAGCCCACACAATGGCTCATTACTTATAATATAGGTTACCATTAAAATGTATTCCAGTTATTAGGAAAGCTGGAAGTGAGTCAATGATTTGAATAAACAAACACTTGGTTGCCCCACAGTTTAGTGCATCCCTGAGACGTCTGTAGGCTCCTTTCCCACGCCTCCTGTCTCACTCCTAAACTAGCAGAGGCTGTTGTGCAAGGCAACCTGGCAGGTCCTAATGAACAGGTAGCTCAATGCACTCCTCAGAAGGAATTCCTGCACACTGTCCACTTCTGTACATTCGCTGCAGGGACAGGGCATCAACTGCATCCTGTGTGTATTAGAGGAGGAAGAAGAGGTTTTGCAGCTTGGGAAAAGAGAAGGATCAGCTTACTAGGCCAAGGGAATGTTACTGTGGTCCCTCCAAAGGGGCCCTGTGTTCTGGTTGCTTGGACAAGCTGAAATACAGCACATCGGTGTGTCAGATACCAGAAGGAGGTGAGAAGACAGAAGAAGGTGCCAGCTTTTTGCCTTCCCCAAAAAGATTGGAGAGGGGTTTTTGTGTCTAAAAGATAAAAGAAACAGAAAAAAAAGAAAAGTGAAAACTTCAGCAAAAAGAAGTAACTCAGCCTTCCAACTGACAGAGTAGTTTCCAGCCTTGTTAGGAAGCAGTAGCCCTACATGCAAATTATTAGGTAATTGAATGAGGATAAACAGAAACAATACATGAAAGAAACAAATCCCAAACATCCATTGGGACAAAGTATGCATATTTCAATTCCTTAAGAGTCAAAGTCTGTATGTTCTAGAACAACTAATGTTTCCTGTTTCCATTAAGGTCTCAGACTGGGCATCTCAAACCATGTAAAGTTGTTGGCCAACAGGTTTATATTTACCCTGGGAGTCAAGGTGAGATTCATGACACTGTTGCTTATTAAAGCTCTTGTTTTAATGTGCTTGGCTTTTGCAAGTAATGACACAGTAAATACATTTGTGTCACTTAGCAACCTCAGTTGTTTTTAAAGGAACGTCTTTTGTTCTTGGAAATATATTATAAATGCAGATTACAAAACAATTATTGGGGAATCTAAACTTGTCTTATTTGGATGGTGTTCTGGCCTCTCCCCATTCTGCATTTGAAGTGTGCACAGGAAATTAATTTACTTTGCACAAACATCCTTCATTGACACTAGTGTTATGAAGAGAAGCTCTGCATATTTAACAAATATGACAGAAGTTTCTGTTGAAAATAAAGGATGTGAGAAACGCCTGGAGAAAGGACTGGAAAGGAACTCCTAGTCACTGGGTTCACCCAGTTCAAAGCTGTCTTACTGTTTTGTAAACAACACTGTAAATACTTTAACACTGTGATGCAACACTACATAGTCTCTATCATGAATTTATCAACCTGATTCATTTCTACACATGCCAAAGTCTGAGATCACAGATCATGCAGCTCCAACAAAAGGATTTGAAATGTAAACACCTGCATAAATGAAGTAATATTTATAATTTTCACATTGACGTGGTTACAGGGTCTCCATAACAGATTAGAACATGTGCATGATCCTGAACACAGACATGTAATCAAAGGACTGAGATTACACTGGATTGCAGACTTCAAAGGATTTAAGGGTTTTCTTTGTCTTTAATAGGTTTAAAGCTCAGAATTCACATCCAGTTGTCCATGTTGTCAGGATCAGTACAAAAGGTAAAATATATAAGTTAACCTTTATATTCTGAAATTAAGACATATCCACAGGAAACACAATAAAATTATGTCCTTTTTTTTAGATGGACACATAATTAATATAATTAGTACTTGTTTATGCAACTCTGATTTTGTCCTCTGCTAGGAATACCTGAAAGACAAGTATTACTAAAAGTATCTTAAAGACTTTTTTAAACATTTGAACAGATAAAGTGAGAGTGCAAGTGAACAATAATCATAAAAAGGGATCAGCCACTCAACTGTAGAACTGTGTTCTCAACTGTAATGTCTCATTAATAGAATTACCTAGACGACAGGTTGCCATGAGAATTTTGGCAGTCCCAGTAGAGAAGCAAACCATACACAGAAATACATCTGGAAAATAAAAAAGAAGAATAGTATCAATGGTCATTATTAAATTTCTGCTCAGAAAAATACTGTCAGAGGTCAGAAAAATTTTCTCAACAGTTTTTCAACTCCTCTTATGCTTTTACTTTAGGAAGAACCTCCCCCTATCCTCCGTGTTCTATGCTTTGGGGTTTTGAAGATTTTTTTAATTGCAATTACTGTGGTAAACTGCTAAAGTAAAAGCAGAGCTGCAGAGCTCATCTCCAGTGGTAGAAGACCAAATATGATAACCAGGCTGTGATCCTCCTAATTTAAAAGAGAATACAGTGAGTAAACTATAGCTTACTCAGGACTTGGTCAAATGACCAGATACAACTGATGAGGCCTTGGGTTCTTTGGGGCTGACCTGGCAGCCAACCCTGTCACTTACGCTCACAAACTGCATCAGGACACCTATGACAGTCTCTTATTTCAAAACACACTGTTGAAGTTATTCTCATTTCTAAGGAGGGGCACTAGCAAACAGCTACCTGTTCACGAACTGCTGTAGTATTCTACCAGGAACATCCAATAATGGCTGCGGACAGTTTAGATCTGCCCCTAGCATGGATTGGGGTTTAATCCCAGAAAGGTCTCTGGGTGCTGACAGACTGAGATCCATTCCACAGATATGATTATGACGTAAATTCATATTGAGCCCTCTTTGGTACAGTTTTCCCACATAAACAAATCTTTGAGGGAGAACCACAGATACAGGATATACTGTCTTCTCCAGCATTTTAGCTTTTCTCTCATCATCCAGTGAAAAGAGCAGATAGTAGCAAAGTAATGGCTGAGATTCCCAACTCCTCTAGGAGGTATTATAATAATCTGAAACACCCTTCTCCTGAAGGTCCACAAATCTCATTTTGCTCAGCTGGTAAATCTATTAATCCTGATCAGTAGTATTCAGAGTAAACACAGTGTGTTTAGTCCTAGAACCCTCAGCAGATACTCAGTCCACTATCAACCAGTCATCATGAAAATTTTGCGTTTAAAAAGATCTGAGGACATCAGGATTCTGCTAATTACTGCGCTCTGAGCTCCCTATCTGTGGCACTGATCTGCACGATCCTGCAAGCTCTTCCCAGCACTGCCGTTGGTTAGGGATGCAATGAAGCACGATTTGCGATTATCATTCCCAGGCTCATGAAAGCCCCAGGTGTAGATGTAATCACAAGCAGCACTGAGCTTTTGCTGGTATAGCTTATTTTGCTTTTGTGGGAGAAGAAAAGGCTGGAATAAGCTGTACTGGTTTATTGCAGTCTTGCTTGTATAGAATACCAGATTACCTACTCAGAAGTGATCTGAATATAGATCTCCCTTGGAGTTGAAGTAGATCCATCCACTGCATTTATGCAGGCCTGCTTCTATTGATTTTGAATAGATACTGCATAAATAAGGAATAAAGGTGAAAGTGTTAAAAATATTGGGGGGTGGGTAGGGGTCAAGAAAATCTCACTTTTTCATCATCTGCAGAAAAATGTGATCTGATTTTTAATTGACAGTTACCACAAAGGTGCTGAAAATAAGAAGGTATCGGTACTTTAAGTATGCACATGAATAAATAATATGCAGTTAGGTAGCATGATTTACACCCAGCTCATATAAATCCAGGCAGGGGATGCAGCAATGGGCTTGGACACCTAGGCTGGAGTGACCAAGTGCAGATAGCAGTCATGTTCACAAACATGGGCATTTATGCACAGGGTCTCTTGCTCTGTACAACAAGTGGAAGTAGCTCAGGAGAACGTGAGGACAAACGGACCAAAGGACATGCCCTCTCCTTTGCCAGCCGCTTACTGATTAATCAAAGGTACAATGGTGAGAGCAGTTACGTGTATGTGCAACTTACACCTTACAAGCTGTTCCCAGCGGAGCCGACCACATGCCCCGTCACGTGAATATAAGCGTGTTCTGGCCTATGTCCCCAGAGTTCCAACACCCAGAAAACCTTATTTAAGGCTCATCATAGAGATTTCAGCGCCTACATGAATGATGCAGTGACAGGAAAAAGGGAAGGAATGGGACTGGGACACGAAGGGACAGGGCAGAGCCTTGATGCAGGTGGTGAAGTAAACCGCAGGCTGACAGAAATCCCGACAGAACACCTGCACGGAGTTACTTCACGTTTGCTAATTCTGGTGATGCAAAATAAGGTTCCTAATGCATTTCTATGTCAAGGAATTAAATCTCAAACCAGTGCGTTGCTGGTGTGGGCACAGAGCGGGCACAGCAGTCAGGGCAAAGACGGCCAGCGAGCGCGAACCGAGCGGTTAGAGCCGGGCGCTGCGGTACGAACGCGCGGCGATCCCAGCACGGAACCTTGCGGGAGACTGCGCTGGGTACCGGGGATCGCAGCGGTCGCTCCCGGAGAGGCCGGTGCGGGCCGGTCGCGCTCCGCTGGGAAGCGCCAGCTCCCGCTCCAGGCGCGCGGTGCTGCGGGAGAGCCGCACGCGCGCAACCGCCGGGCGCTCACGGGGGCAACGGCGCGCGCCCGCACCAGCGCCCCGCGGGCCGTTAACGGCGGGGGGGGGGGGG